AAAGATGAAAAAGCATTATTAACATTTACTTTGACTCTCAATATTAGTGTACTGCCACTTTTGCATGTAACAAGCTTGTTAGGATACATAGTGTGAACTTTAAAGATAACTGCATATGCTCCTTCAAGCGGCTTCAAGATTTCTCTAACAAATTGTTAAGTTTATCCCTTTAATGTTATGTTCATCCATTGTATATTAACTTACATCATGTACTTGTTAACTTTAGTCAGTATCTGTTAAGTATATCTAGTACATGTTAACTTTAGCTAGTACATGTTAACTATATCCACTACCTATTAACTTTAGCCATTACTTGTTAACTATATCCGATATATGTTAACTTTAACCCGTACATATTAACTATATTCGATACCCGTTAACTTTATTCATTACCTGTTAACTATATCCACTACTTGTTAACTTTGGCGAGTACATGTTAACTATACCCAATACATGTTTGTTTTAACCAGTACCTGCTAACTATATCCAGTTGCTGTTAAATATTTTTATATATGGTCACAGTAGCTCTAATATAACTGAGTCTCTCAACAACTAAAATGCTTATCCTTAACAACTAAAGTGCTTATAATTTCATTGAATCGGCTATGAATTGCGATTGTGTTGGCAGATTGTAGTGGGATTATGAAGTTGTAGAGAAGCAATCTTAAGAGTGAAGCAAACAAATCAAATCCTACTAATTTGTCCTAAAAATCAAGCTCACTATCATCCACTCTCCAACACACATACTTAAATTAAAGAAATCCACACCAACTTTGCCACAAAATCTAAACTTTTAGGGTATTTTGATGAAGAGAGTAGAGTGAGGAGAATAATGGAGGCAAGAATGAAAATAAGGAAATAGGAAGAGAGCAGGAGAATCACCCTAGAGCTTTACTTGTTGAGGGGTAATGAAAGGTGGTACCAACGGGTGATGACGTAGGAGGTAGTGGCAAGGAGAGATTACATAGGAGGTGGTGATGAATAGGAAGAAGAATGAGAGGAGAGGCTAATGGTGACGGAGGGGGATGCGGGAGAGGGAGATGACAGAGTCAGAGGGAAACATGAAGAGGGAGAGGAGGAGGGTTAGGGTTAGGGTTAGAGTTAGAAGATGGTAGACTGAGAGGAGGGAGGAGCAGAAAGAAGGTTAGAGTTAGGAGAGAGAAGGAAAAAAGGGAGGAGCAGAATGAAGGTTAGAGTTAGGAGAGAGAAAGAAAGAAGGGAGGAGCAACATCATAGTGGGTTTTAGGAGAGAAGGGAGGAGGAGATGATGATGATTTTTAATAGGTGGAGAATAAAGGAGAGGTAAAATCGATAACTTGGGTAAAATTAATACAACTTTTAGTGCCAACACACAATAGAAATAATTAGGGGGGTTGAGCCACATAAAACCTTTATTTTTAGGGTCTTGACACAATTTTCCCTAAAAAAATTAGTGAGGATAGATAGAAGTGGAGGAATATATAGAAATCAGTCAATTGTGTTGAGCAAGTTAATAATTTTGAATTAATGATGTGACATTTTGTCCTCCCCACTCTTAAATATTAAAAAAATTCTATACACTGTTTTACAACAACTCTTTAAAAATTTGAAAATTTTAAAGGTTTTAAAAACAAAAGGTGGAATTCAAAATAATAAAGTATTTTTATTAATGTAAAATTTGGGAAATATTAAGTTGTAAATAATAGTTGTGATGGTTGAAATTTGTTGAAGAAGAGTTATAGGAAATTGATATGGGAAATTATTTTGATATTCAAATCAATGATGTATAAATGCTATAGATAAGAAAAAGCCCAAAAAGCTATACAAAAGTCATTGTCGCCAAAAGTTCTTTTCACCGCATAAATAAGTAAAAGACACAAATTAATGTTCATAATATATAAATAAATTAAGATAAAGTTAAGGAAATAATATTTGTTGGAGTTGAGGAAGCGGGATGGATTGAGAATGGAGGAAGTAGGAGGGAAAATGAGAATATGCTAAGAACTTGAAGAAACTTTGTATGAATTGCTTCAAAGCTTGATTACAAAACTTACATTCAAGGCTATTTATAGCCTCACAAGGAATTCTCTAGAATATTTAGAGTTTTCATGATACATCAAAATTCTAGAGAATTCTATATAATTCTACATACATCCATGCCTAATATATTTTCTTCCTAAATTATTCTAGATATTTCTACTTTACATACTTTTTTATAAATATCCTATAGTTTTCTAGAATTACAAATTATCTTCTAACACCCTTCCTTAATTTGTAATTCCCAACTCATTTCTAAATAGTATAAACTTTTTGGAGGGTAATGCTTTTGTGAACAACTCATTTCTAAATAGTATAAACTTTTTGGAGGGTAATGCTTTTGTGAAGATGTCTGCTAACTGTTCATTTGTTGAGATGAACTCTAACTTTTTGGAGGGTAATGCTTTTGTGAAGATGTCTGCTAACTGTTCATTTGTTGAGATGAACTCTAGCTCGATCTCCTTATCTTCAACAAGCTTCCTGATGAAATGATGACGAATCTCAAGATGTTTGGTTTTAGCATGGAAGACCGGATTCTTTGTCATGGCTATTGCAGACTTGCTGTCATAATAGAGAGTAATCGGTGACTCTTGGTGTTGTTGTAAATCAGATAAAATCCTTCGAAGCCATACTACTTCGCATGCGACATTTGTAGCTGAAATATACTCTGCTTCTGTAGATGAGAGAGCTATGATCTGTTGTTTCTTTGAGGTCCAGGATATTACCTTAGATCCCAGAGTGAAAACATATCCTGAAGTGCTTTTGCGATCATCAATGCATCTAGCCCAGTCGCTGTCAGTGTAGCCAGATAATGCATTGTCTTCTTCTGTTGTGTATTTGATTCCCATACTCTTTGTTCCTTGAAGATATCGAAGAATCCGCTTCGCTGCTCCATAGTGTAGCTTACTTGGATTGCTCATGAATCTGGACACAATGCTTACAGCATACAATATGTCTGGCCTAGTGTTTGTGAGGTAGATTAGTGATCCGACTAGGCTTTTGTAACTTGAGGCATCCACCTTTGGTGCTCCATCGTTCATTGATAGCTTTTCATTTAGCAATGCTGGTGTAGCTACTGGATTGCAATTCTTCATGTTGAACTTCTTCAGAAGATCTTCGTAGTATTTCTCTTGATTGATGAATATTTCTCCTTCAGTTTGTTTTACTTGTAGTCTCAGAAAATATCTCATCAATCCTAAATCTGTCATCTCAAAATCTTCTTTCATCTTTCTTTTAAATTCTTCAATCATTATGGTGTTAGTACCACAATAAATTAAATCATCAACATATAGGCAAATGATAAGGAAGTCTGCACCTTTTTTCTTCACATATAGAGATATTTCACTCGGGCTCCTTTGAAATCCATTCTCATGAAAATAGCTATCAATTTTGCTATTCCAAGCCCGTGGTGCTTGCTTCAACCCGTATAGTGCTTTGTGCAACCGATAAACTTTGTTTTCTTCTTTCTTGACTATGTAGCCCTGTGGTTGCTCGACATAGACTTCCTCTTCGAGTTCTCCATTTAGGAATGCAGACTTGACATCTAGCTGAAATACTTTGAGCTTGAGCTGTACTGCTATAGCCAATACCAACCTTATAGTCTCCATACGAGCAACTGGGGCAAATGTCTCATTGAAGTCGACTCCTGGTTGTTGAGAGTAACCCTTCGCGACTAATCGAGCCTTGAGTTTCTGAACGGAGCCATCTTCATTGTACTTGGTTTTGTATATCCACTTAAGGCCAATGACCTCCTTTCCTTCTGGAAGATTCACCAGCTCCCATGTTTTGTTCTTCTCGATCATGTAGATTTCTTCATCCATTGCTTTTCTCCAGCCTTCATCTTGGACGGCTTCTTCAAATTTCTGTGGTTCACAGGAGAAGAATGCTACGTCACAGGAGTCATAAATATCTTGAAGTGAACACACCTTTTTAGGCGGTGAATCTGTGTCTGAAGTTGATGCATCTGAGGATCTTAGACTAGGAGAATCTTGATATGACGTGGCTCCCCTCGTTTCTTCTTCAATGATGCTTGGTGTTGAGGTTTGATGCGGTTCACCGTTCCATGTTCCTGCTTCATCGAAGATAACATCTCTAGATACCACCAATTTATTAGTATCAAGATTGTATAATCTGTAGGCTTTGGATTTTTCACTGTAGCCAATAAAGATGAGTTTTTCTCCTTTTTCATCAAACTTTTCCTTCCTTAGTTGTGTTGGTTTATGTGCATAGGCGATACAACCAAATACCTTAAAGAAATCCACTTTCGCCTTTCGCCTATACCAAGCTTCATATGGCGTCTTGTCTGGCACAGCTTTTGTTGGTGATCTATTCAAGATGTAGACTGCTGTATATACTACCTCAGTCCATAATTTGTTTGGGAGATTTTTACTTTTTAACATGCTCCTCGCCATCTCCACAATTGATCTATTTTTTTTTTCTGCTACTCCATTTTGTTGTAGAGTGTACCTTGTTGTTAGCTCCTTTTTAATTCCATATTTTTTACAAAAATTTTGAAATTCATTGGAAGTAAACTCTCCTCCATGATCAGTTCTCAGAACTTTTAATTTGTGACCACTTTGCTTTTCTACAAGAGCCTTATACTCAATAAACTTTGAGAATACTTCTGATTTTGCTTTTAAGAAATATACCCGCATCATTCTGCTATAATCATCAACAAATAATAAGAAATATCTTCTTCCATTTAATGATGGGGTTTGCGTTGGGCCACAAACATCAGAATGCACTAATTCTAACGGGGCTTTTGCTCTCTAAGATGTTTTAGTAAATGGTAAGCGATGCATTTTTCCATAAATGTATCCTTCACAAACTTTTTCTTCTTTATTTATGTGTGGGAGTCCTATCACCATATTCTTCTTTTTTTAGTAAATTTAGACTCTTGAAGTTTAAGTGGCCATATCTTTGATGCCATAATAGAGAATCATTATTTTCTTCTGATTTGAGTGCAAGATTCTCTATTGACATTTTTAAGGGAAAAACTTTGTTGGAGCCATTTTTATTCTAGCCACTATCTGCTTATTCTTATCATCTATTATCACACATTCATTCTTAAAGAAATTGATTGCATATCCTTTTTGGATTAATTGTCCCACACTAAGTAAATTTTGAGTTAGCCCCGTAACATAAAGAACATCTGAGATGTCTTTCGTCTTACCTCCATTTGTCTGGACTGCTATCACTCGCTTTCCTTCAATGTTTTGTAATTTTCTGTCTCCAAGCTTTATTTGAGAGCTTGTTTCATCCTTCAACTCTACGAAGATGCTCTTATTTCCTGTCATATGATTGCTGCATCCACTATCCAAATACCAAATATCCTTTTCTTCTGGTTGTGCATTAAAACATGAATAAAGTAGGTGATCGGTTTCTACTTCTGTATAGTGGACTTTATTATTTTTCTGATACCAGCAATCTTTTTTGGGAGTGATTAACATTTCTACAGTTTGTGCATTTAAACTTACAGTTGTATGTGTTATGTCCAGACTTACTACATATTTTACAATAGGAGGTAGACTTACCTTTTGAGAAATCTTTATCTCTCTCATTAATTTTTCTTTGTCTCCCTAACTTTCTTTCATGGTAGTTGCCTCCTCCATCTTGTACTTTCTGAGAAAATATTCTTTCTTTATTTTCTTTAGTTCCATCTCCTCCTTTCCTTGAAAATATTAGTTTTGACTGAAACGCTTGCTCCACCTCTTGGCTTGAAAATCTGCTTCTTCTAAGCTCATGTGACTCCAAAGAAGTCATTAGTTCATAAAAACTTAATTTTGATAAGTCTTTAGATTCTTTTATGACAGCAACAATATGATCCCATGTAGGGGAAAGACTTCTTAGTATCTTCTCAACTATCTTCTTATCCTCTATTTTATCCCCATAGCTTCTAATTTGATTAATAATTGAGGTAACTCTATCAGAAAATTCTTTCACGGATTCATTATCTTTCATCTTTATGTTGTCAAAGTCTCTCCATAAGGATTGTAGTTTGATAGAGATTACTTTATCGGAGCCCTTGAATTCTTATTTGAGTATGTCCCATGCATCCTTTGATTTTGACGCGGACATTATTCGGGGAAAGATTGCTTTGCTTACCCCTTGTTGGATAAAGAGAAACGCCTTCGCATCTTTTTTTTCTTGTTCTCTTTATACTCCTTTTGCTTTGCTGGTGTCCATGATGTTAACATTGCTGAGTCATCTGGACCTTCATAGCCTTCTTCGACAAGCTCCCAAAGTTCTTGAGAGATGAAGAGTGTCTTCATTTGGAGGCTCCAGAAGTCATAGTTTTCGCCGTCGAAAATGGGGACTAAGTTTTGAGAGCTCCAGAAGTCATAGTTTTCGCCGTCGAAAATGGGGACTAAGTTTTGAGAGTAATTGAAAAGAGAATGGGTAATTGCTAATGAGGCTGCCATTTAGAATGGTAGTGAAAGGCTAAATGCTTTCAAGATTGATTTGAGGTGGAAAATGATGGCTCTGATACCAAATTTGTTGGAGTTGAGGAAGCGGGATGGATTGAGAATGGAGGAAATATATAGGAGGGAAAATGAGAAGAGGCTAAGAACTTGAAGAAACTTTGTATGAATTGCTTCAAAGCTTGATTACAAAGCTTACATTCAAGACTATTTATAACCTCACAAGGAATTCTCTAGAATATTTAGAGTTTTCATGATACATCAAAATTCTAGAGAATTCTATATAATTCTACATACATCCATGCTTAATATATTTTCTTCTTAAATTATTCTAGATATTTCTACTTTACATATTTTTTTACAAATATCCTAGAGTTTTCTAGAATTACAAATTATCTTCTAACAATATTGTGTCAAAGTTTACCTGCATTTCTTGCTCCTATCAAATTATGCAAAAAAGAATATTATTGCAGATATGACCTAAATATAATTTTGATAAATTATTTTTTATCAGTTTATTTGAAGCTATACCACTATCGTTTCTATTTCTTATATCATGTGCATTACGCACATAATAATAAAGATGTAGAATGAAGGAAAATAAGCCAATGCTATATACACACATCAAATTCAAACCATTATCATTCACATTTTCCACAAATATTCAAAAAATTATCGAACTTACAATATTACAATGTATTTATCAAATATTTGCATTTCTCGATGGTCGAAACTTGGCAAAACTGACCAAACAAGAACACTTATTCAATGAAAATTTTCGAAGGTTAATCGAGTCAATATTGTAAAGAGTTACGGCGGTGGTCCAAATTTACGAAGAACCATGTAATGAGCTAAAATTGGAGAACAGCTGAACTTGATGAACAAACTGGCTGTCGTGCACCAGCGGGTTCCCTGATCTCGCTGGAGGTGATCCACAGTAGCAAGACGGCGAGCATCCTATAATTGCGGGTTCTCTTCCTTGATTACTCTGCACCAAATTTACGAGAATTTTAACGTGTCAATCTTTTTTCATGATACATATATTTTCTTGCACAAGTACTAAAAGTCTAAAAAAATATCGATCTTCAAGTGTTAAGTTTTCGTTAATTTTTCTGAGCAATATGTACATTTATTGAGCAGCAGATTGAGATTTCATAGCAAATTAGCCAAAGAATCGATCCTTCTCTGAAGTGATTTTTCTAGAAGGGTGTTAATCAGTAATTTTATTTAATTTTTTTTATGATTTATATTTTTTGATTAAATTGATATAAATTTCTAACAACGGTCGACATCCAAAACAACACATCAACTGTTTTTTGCATGCAAAGGTTTGAACTGAGGACCTTAGATTTTGAATGCAAGTTGAATGCTTGTTCTACATGTAGACTTCTAGTAATAGTAATTAAGACTTCATCCAAAAGCATCCTCTTTTATGTTGATCCTTTTATTTTAGATGTGCATATAACATCACCATAATGTTCCTTTTAATTTTAGATGTATTTATAACATCACCATAATGTCCCTCTTCTCTCCTAAAAAAAACGATAAATGAAAAAATAAAAAGAAAATTGTTTTTAATTCTAACGCATATATATCCCATTTATTACTGCAAATACCAAAAGGTTTATAACTATACCTTTCTTGATGCAACGTCCAATATTTCGCTGCTCTCTTGACTACCTGAATGGCTGGTTACACAGCATAACAAAAATATTTTTGTTAGCATTAAGAATGAGAATATATAATTAAACGCTTAAACTATACTGCCGTATATATGTGAATATATATACATCATACATGGTTGTATTCATAAGATCAGTATCATTACCTTGCCTCAATATTTAAGATAGCAATTGTAACATTAATGGTCTTTTTGTGAAGGCTAAATCGCATGACTTGCATCATTTACATCTTGGTAGTACTGTATCACATTCAACTCTTTTCTACGGTTGTATTTTGATACTTTCAGAGGGATAATTACAAGTAGCCTCTCTCTCTCCTCTGTAAAAATTAAGGGAATACCGTTGTATGAGTTTGAGAGATAATAAATTACTACTTAATGTATAAGTTGTTGTGTACGTATTGTTGTGCGCCGCGGAAGCCCCAAATAGACAAATCAAAAGCACACACAAGAACAATAGTAGACCACAAGTGAACACAAGCTAACCAATCACAGCAAGAACACAAGATATACGTGGTTCGGCAATGTGCCTACGTCCACGGGGCAAGGAGGGGGAAGCTTTACTAATGAAATCAAAGGGGAATACAAATTAGGGTTACAAATCTTACCCAAAACCCTCAAACAAGACCAATTGATCTCTCCAATAGACTCCAACAATAGAAGCCATCAAAATCCCTTTTCAGCAGCTCAAAATCTCCAAAGCTTAACCCTAGAAACGAGTTTAGGGTTTATATACAACTTACAAACGAAACGGGTCTGGAAACAGAACCCAACCCAAACCCGCAGCGGCGGTCGACCGACACGGTCGACCGCGATCCATCGCGGTCGACCGGACCGGTCGACCGCCCACCATCCAGCAAGAGACCCAAACTCCAGAGAGTTCGGCGGTCGACCGAACCCACTAAGTCTCGTGCACGAACGCGATCGACCGCACCGGTCGACCGCCACTTAGTCTGTCTGATTCTGATCTACTATTCTGCCAATTCTACAAATCTCCACCTTGGCGAACGTTTATCAAAATTGAGCCGACACCAAAGCACCCCTAATCAACTTAACCGGCTGCATCTGCAAGACTGCCTACGTATCCTCTTGCCCAAGGAATCAAGCCAAACGTAGTTCATCGAAATGGTCGCCAACGGCCTCAACAATGAAGAATATTCAACAAATTCAAACAGTGACCAAACTTCACACCTGATACAACTTTGGTCAACATATCAGCAGGGTTATCCTTAGTGTGGACCTTCTCCAACGTGACATCACCATCATCTAATACGTCACGTACAAAATGAAATCTGACATCAATGTGCTTTGTGCGTGCATGGTAGACTTGGTTCTTCGCCAAATAGATAGCTGACATACTATCACAATATACCTGAATGGTCTCCTGTGTAATCCCCAAGTCACCCAACAAACCATGTAGCCACAAAGCCTCCTTCACTGCTTCAGTCACCGCCATATATTCCGCCTCCGTAGTAGAAAGCGCCACTGTAGACTGAAGAGCCAACACACCGGTGCACTAGCCAATGTAAAAACATAACCTGTAGTGAACCGACGCTTGTCAAGATCTCCGACATAGTCTGAATCCACGTAGCCAATACAATCCTGCCCTGTCTCCTCATTCTTCGCAAATAGCAGCCCAACATCTACGGTACCCTTAATATACCGTAGAATCCACTTCATGGCCTCCCAATGCCCCTTCCCGGGGTTGTGCATGTACCTAGATACCATGCTCACGGCCTGTGATAAATCTGGCCTAGTACACACTATAGCATACATCAAGCTACCCACTGCGCTGGCGTACGGAACTTTGGACATGTAGTCCATATCCTCCACTGAAACTGGTGACATCAAGGCTGAAAGCTTAAAGTGGAGAGCTAATGGAGTACTTACCACCTTGGTATTACCCTCAAAACTGAATTTCTTCAGCATCTTCTGCAAGTAACTCCTCTGTGTAAGCTTCAATCTCCCCTTCACCCTGTCTCGCTCAATCTCCATACCCAATATCTTCTTAGCCTCTCAAATTCTGATGACAGCTCCTTTTTCAATTTCCCAATAGCTGAAGTGTTCCTGGAAGCTATGAGCATATCATCAACATACAATAACAAATAAATGTGCTCACCATCCTGTAGCTTGCGCATATAAACACACGGGTCATAAGGGCTCCTCGTGTACCCTCGGCCAATCATAAAGCTATCAAATCTCAAGGGCTCCTCGTGTACCCTCGGCCAATCATAAAGCTATCAAATCTCTTGTACCACTGTCGCAGTGATTGCTTCAGTCCATAAAGAGATTTCTTCAATTTGCACACCAAGTCTTCTCTTCCTGCAGCTTTAATAAACCCCATAGGTTGTGTCATGTAGATCTCCTCATCTAAGTCTCCATGTAGAAAGGCCGTCTTCACGTCCATTTGGACCAAATCTAAGTCCAGCTGTGCCACCAATGCTAATAGTATCTGAATCGATGAATGCTTCACAACGGGTGAAAACACCTCATTGTAGTCAACGCCCTCAAGCTGTGCATATCCCTTGACAACCAATCTGGCCTTGAACCGAATGTCCCCAATAGAAGATCCCTCCTTCTTAGCATACACCCACTTGCAACCAATAACTTTCTTACCCTTCTGGCCGACGAATCTCTCTCCTCGGTCTATCTGCTGCAATGGACCTCTGAGCATGACCCTGCTCCTGAGCCTCACCATCCACTGTATCCCCCAAATGCCCGACTGTCATCTCAACTCCTTCTCGTGTCACCTCTGTAGGAGTCTCTATGGGAACAGTGCCAACTGGAGTGGGTGGAGTCACATCATCCTCCACCTGTTGCGATATCCCTCCTGACTGATCTTCCTCCACCTGCTGAGGAACTTGAGGCTTCATCATGTAAGCCTCATCGAATGTGACATCTCTGCTAATGATCATCTTCTTGTCTTGTGGATCCCATAATTTGAAGCCTTTTACACCTTCTCTAAATCCCACAAAAATCGCCTTCCTCGCTCTCGGATTCAACTTCCCATCACTAACATGGAAATAAGCTGGACACCCAAATATCCGAAGAGTCTCATAATCACTAGCCACAGAACCAGACCAATGCTCCAAAGGAGTCTTTCACTCTATCGCAGTGCACGGCAACCTGTTAACGAGATGGCTCGCATAAACCAACGCCTCGGCCCAAAAAGATCTAGATAATCCACTCTGCATCATCATACATCGTACCTTCTCCAGTAAGGTACAGTTCAATCTCTCGGCCACCCCGTTCTGTTATAGTGTCTCTCTAACTGTGAAGTGTCTTCTAATGCCATGATCCTGGTAAAACTACAAAAATGGATCACTCTTATACTCTCCCCCATTGTCTGAACGAAGAGTCTTCACCTTTCTACCTGTCTGCAGCTTCACTTTCTTCTTCCACTCCACAAATATATCCAGGACCTCATGTTTATGCTTCATGGTATATACCCAATTCCTCCTGGAATAATCATCAATGAAAGTGATGAAATAATTTACCCCACCAAGCGATGTGTGCTTAGAAGGGCCCCAAACATCTGTGTGAATGTAGTCTAATATACCTTGGGTGTTGTGAATTGCGGTGCCAAACTTCACTTTAGTCTTCTTCCCAAGTATGCAATGCTCACACAGCTCCATCTTGTAGGTCTTTGCACCTTTCAATAGTCCCTATTTTGCCAATGACTGTAGGGACTTTTTACCTGTGTGTCCAAGCCTCATGTGCCATAGTGTGGTAGTGTCCTCTTCTGTGGTGATAGAAGTCGCCAGACCCCCTGTAACTGTCTTGCCCTTCAAGTAGTATAGGTTGTTTTTCCTGACACCTCGCATCACCACCATGGATCCCTTCATGACCTTCAAACTAGCATCCTCTAATATCACTCTATAACCGGATGCCTCCAAAGTCCCAAGAGAAATGAGGTTCTTCGTCAACTGCGGCACGAACCTCACATCTTTCAATTCCCTAGTCACCCCGTCATGCATTCTGATTCTGACTGAGCCAATCCCACTAATAGGACAAACGTGATCGTTCCCCATGAGCACCACGTCTCCTCTCTTCAACTCCTCAAAGGTGGTAAACCAGCCCCTCTTAGGGCAAATATGAAATGTAGCTCCCGAATCAAGCATCCACTCCGTAGAGTCGGTATAACAAACTGACGGCAGTGCGGGACAAGAATAACCGGAAGAATCCGAATCTGAAATGTCATCAACAACCTTAGCAACATTCACCTCTGAAGCTTGTACAGCTTTCACCCTTTGCTTCCCGGCTCTATCCTTCAACTTTGGGCACTCATTCTTCCAATGTCCCTCTTCTTTGCAAAAGGCACATTGATTTCTACCAACACTTTTATGGCCACCCCTATTCTTTGATTTTGAGCGGTTAAACTTTTGGCGGTTTGGACTACGGTCACGAACTGCAAGTGCATCACCTGATGCCTTCTCGGAGGGCTCACAATCATTCTTCCTCAGCTCATAATTCACCAATGCCGAGGTCACCTCCTTGTAGCTAACTGTAGTTCGCCCATTTATCATAGTGAGAACAAAAGTACTAAATTCATCATCCAGCAACGAACACAATAATAACATCGCCTTATCTTCATCCTCCACCATGATATCAACATTGGCCATATCCAAAATTAGCTTTGTGAAGTTGTTAACATGCTCTCGAATGGAAACTCCTCTCTTCATCTTGAATTGGTAGAACCTTTTCTTCAAATGAAGCCTATTCTCAATGCTCTTTGTCAAATATTTTTCATTGAGCGTTTCCCACAATCTCTTTGCCGACGTCTCATTCATCACATCATAGATAAGATCCGGCGTTAAGCATGACCGAATAACCCCACAAGCCCTACTGTGCATTTTCTTCCAAACCCTATCATCAATCTCCTCCGGTTTCTCTTGAAACTCAAGAGTCTCCTCTAAATTTTGTGCATCTAAGACGTCCATTACTTGACACCTCCATAAACCGAAGTTAATCTTGCCGTCGAACTTTGGGACATCAATTTTAGTGTTATTGATGCTCAAATTTTGGATCGCCTTTGTCAAAGCAGACCCCGATGTACTAGTAGCACTTGAACTAGCCTTGCTTGTATCACCCATATTGTAGATCTACTCTCCCAACAAGAACCCAACAATGAATCCTTCGAATAAACTCTCAAATCCAACCCGGAGCTCTGATACCACTTCTTGTGCGCCGCGGAAGCCCCAAATAGACAAATCAAAAGCACACACAAGAACAATAGTAGACCACAAGTGAACACAAGCTAACCAATCACAGCAAGAACACAAGATATACGTGGTTCGGCAATGTGCCTACGTCCACGGGGCAAGGAGGGGGAAGCTTTACTATTTGAAATCAAGGGGAATACAAATTAGGGTTACAAATCTTACCCAAAACCCTCAAACAAGACCAATTGATCTCTCCAATAGACTCCAACAATAGAAGCCCTCAAAATCCCTTTTCAGCAGCTCAAAATCTCCAAAGCTTAACTCTAGAAACGAGTTTAGGGTTTATATACAACTTACAAACAAAACGGGTCTGAAAACAGAACCCAACCCAAACCCGCAGCGGCGGTCGACCGGTGCGGTCGACCGCACTCCATCCAGCTGCCATCCAAATATTCCAGAGAGTTCATCGGTCGACCGGGTCGGTCAACCGCCACCAAAACAGACCTTACGGTCGACCGTATCGGTCGACCGACACCAAAGCTGATGCCCACTAAGTCTTGTGCACGAACGCGGTCGACCGCACCGGTCGACGCCACTTGTCTGCCTGATTCTGATCTACTATCCTGCCAATTCTACACGTATGGGGCCTGGTTTTTATGGAGAATACATCTAAATCATGCGAATCAGATTTGAACGCCTACAGAATTACGACCCCCTGTTGTGGGGTACGGCCAGCGCAAGTGTCAATAAGGCAGCATCCAAAGAAAAGAAACTTTACATCATATGGTGAGGGCATTTTTGTACTTCTTGCGTTATACACAGTTATCTATTGCTATAAATACATAGAATCGTGACCTAGAGCTATACGAGGAAATAGAAGGAAGAAAACCTGTGGCTGCAACTAAGAGGAGGATACAAAAACTCAGGCACCGCGGGAGCAGCCCTGCGTGGCCTCGGACAAACAGGCATCGGCT